GGCAAGCAGGCTCAGAGGTGAGTGCTGATGGATGCTGATCACCAGCGACAGTAAGCCACCCACAGTGATCTCGGGCTTAAGGTGCTGATCGGATTAAGTCACCTGTTGTCGCCTAGGACTTTGTGCGAATAATGCAGGTTTATAGATAAATTATACCACCTTTAAACAGCACGTTCCTTACAATCAAGGTTCAAGACATGACACGGCGCCGACATCCCACGGCTATAATGTTTCGCGGATAATGCGGCGGGTGAGGCTGGTCGCGAAACTCCTCGTTTCATATTTCACGACCTGTCATTTGTAGTAATCACGATAAAGAGGCATGCCGTAACAAATCCACTAAGTGGGCGAACAAAATGAGACGTAACAACATCTACAAGCTCATTAGCCGTCCAGAATGCCGTGAAAAGCGCGGTGCACAGTCTTCAGAGAACGCTCCGCCGTCACGCTCCGCCTGTGACGCCGCCCCGCGTCGTGACGCTCCGTCAGCTCGCGGGGCGGCCGCGAGTCCCCTGTCGCAATCTCAGCTGAGATCGACTGCAGTGCAGCGGCACTGCCCCCTTGAAATTAAGATATTAATCATGGGAGGATCACTGGTCTCCTAAACTGATCATCATTCAGGTGCTTCCTCGTCCCTCGCAGGGTTCCCCGCGGCGTTCCATTGCCACCAACAAAGGCCCCCACTAATGGCGCGCTGTACCTTGGGGTAATACCTTAATTTTGATTACGCCGCGCGGCAGCCGACGACACAGGGCCGAAAAGATTGCCTGGCTGCGCTCAGACACATGGAGGACATTGTTAATGAGTTGTCGGGGCGCGCCGCCAAAATTAAACTCCACCGCCGGCCCGCGGGCCACATCAAACGCGCCGCGCCGCCGCTCCGATGGAGCGTGTGTGAAATTGGTGGCCCGGGGATAGCCGGGCCGTATCTGCGGAATCTGGCCCGATGCCTCACACGATGGTGTCCGGGGGATGATTGTAATTATCGAATGCAGGCACGGGACGGATCAAAGTCCGGCGGGCACCGCCGCTCATGAAGAGCGCGCACTCGCGGCGACGGTCGCGTCAAGACCGGTGGAACGGCCTGGATTATGGCGCTTTGGCGAAAGCAATTATGGAGGGAATGAGGAGAGACTGTCGGGTGCCTGGACAGAGGTACACAACATTGTGACGGCGTAATCACGTCGTCACAACACATCGGCGAAAACAACGTCTCCGCGCCTGACGTTTCAGAAACTTCCGCAGGCCACGGCGCAGACCAATACAGTAACCACATACCGCCAGCAGACGACAAAGTGCAATTCCTGCAGCCAGTCAAGAATAAAGCTTTCATGACCAATCAACGTGAGGTGATTTGCTGGTGCCCGGTGGCAATGCTAGTCACTGATTACCGCGGAATTTATTGAACAGGTAATTAGACAGTGCGATAAGAGCGCTCGCCTGCAGCTGAACATGCATGCTGGACCTGTGGCGGTGGGCTGCCGGCATGGGTGTCGGGGTCGGCTCACTCCCCGCATGGCAGGGGCGCCCGAGCCATAGGTCGCCGGGCTGTGCACGCGACCGATCCCGACCCGTAATGACACCTGTCGTCCGCAGCACCCTCTCCCTCCCCGAAACCCCTCCCGGGGGAGGGAGGGGGCTGGGGGCCGCACGCGCGGCTAAGCCAGCTCAAAGAGCCGAGCCGCACCGGGGGGGGGGGGGGGGAGCACCTTTCCGCTGACCTGAGGGGCAGAGCCGGCCCGCGTCTGCCAGCGAGCCTCGTGGGGCTCGGCTGGGATCAGGGCATAACAGGACTGGCCGACGTCCGCCAGCGAGCCTGGTGCGAGCCGCCGCCCGCCGGCCAGGTCTTGCCTGGCGCCGGTGATAATCCAGAGACTGGCAGCCGCGGCGGCAGCCTCAGAGCAATTTGTACCGCATAATCATTAACTCGTAATGGGGCGCGAAGATTATTATTGGCTAATGGAGCCCCCTTCGTTTGCAGTTAAGGCGTGGCCGGTAATTTGTTTCTGTTTGCAGCATCCGGGCTTAGGCGAAAAACGTTGCCTGACGTAACTGCACCATTGCAGACAATAAAACTGATTAAGTTGTGCAATTTAATGGTTCTTAGAATTGGTACTCCAACAAGAGATGGTGTGGGCGATAATTGCGCACGGTTTTAATTTTCCCCGTTTCGAGCCAACAGTGAGAGAGCATCTGGTGCGCGCATTCACTCTTGATAGCTTGAATGGGGTCACGGCTATGGGGAGTCCAACATTACTATTCACCGGGGTCTGATATAGTCTTTGCTCTGGGACACTGAACTAGCTGGCCGATGCACATTCGCTATCAATAAGGAAGCTGTGTTTTCCCAGGACTCGGAGCGACTTGGCATTACGGCAGGACCAGGAGCGGTGTGGCAAGGCGCGAGTTGACGTAGGCTGGCCCGAGTCCAACAGCATCTCAGTTAACACCCTTGCTATTGCCAACAGCGGTGCAACAGGCCAGTATCTCAACACTGGGAAAATCCCCTTGAGCACCCCGCTCCATTCGCCACGCCATCGAGGGGCTTCTGTCTGCAATGATGATGTCTGCACTGATGATTCGTGCAGTCTCCATCGCGATGAAGTACGAGTCCTTAAACAATCGCGCGCGCACGCTGTGAGGCACTTGCTTGCAAGCGCTTTGGCCAGGCGTGCATTTACTGCAGAAGTGCGATGTGCATGAGACATAGCCTTCCCCTCATATGATCCACATGGAAAACACATCTGTAAGCTGTGATGACACTGCACGACGCCGGTTAAAGTGGTCCCCAAATCGTGTCCGCTCCGGTGTACACCGACGCAAGACTAGCAGCGTTTGACAGGGCAGAGGGCGGGGTATCGTGAAGGCGACACTGTAGGTTGATGCGTGCAGCCGGTTACACGTGCGCGTGCGTGTACCTGTCGTGGATCCGCTTCGTTTTCGTGAAGGCGTTCTTCAAGCCCCAACGTCCAGGAGATAACAGCATTAAGCCAGCTGCATTTTGTAGGCCAATTGGTGGCCTACAAACCACTCGCGATTTTAACACTGACATGGGTACAACAATAATCACCAACACCAACCCAATGTCCCGTTTTTAGAAATCGTTCTCCAACATAACACGTTGCGGCCTAAACTAAGAGGGTTTGTATTATGAAAACTGCACAGGTGTGTGGTCCAATGTCTACCAAAGTATTTTCGTTTGATGTAATACTGTCACGAAATGCAGATGTGCCAGTGCTTTTATTAAACCCATTTGCACGTGTTGCCAAATATGTCTTACTCTACTACCACATTTTGTGTATTCTCTACATGATGTTAGTTGGCTATTTCTACGTATGCTATCATCTTGCTTGTCTATCCTACCCAAGTAATCCTACTGGTATCAAGAATGGGCACAACATGTCTTACAGTTACAGGCTGGGATATTGCTTGCGGTCAAAATAAGCCGTGCCCTTAATGTGGCGTCCCTAAGCAGTCACTACATGCAATCAGCAGCTCGATTGCATTAGACGTCCCTGAACAGGGTCATCTGTCACTGCCCGGACGGGGCAGCCCTCACGTGGTGGCGGCCTCCGCCACGCGCGCCTGTACCGGGAGACGGTCGTCGCACGCCCCGCCCCGTCTTTGTGCGGAGCTGGTCGGCGCGGCGCCACCCCCGACGGCGGACTCGGACCAGAGGCCGCTGCGCCGCACCGCCCTGTCTTTGTGCGGAGCTGGTCGGTGCGGCGCCACCCCCGACGGCTGACTCGGACCAGAGGCCGCTGCGCCGCACCGCCAGCCGAGTTGTAGGCGCGCGCGAGCTGGCCCAGGTGAGCCCGTCAGACGCCGGCGGGCCGCACACGGACCGCGAACGGCCGCCGCACAGGGACCGTGGACGGCCACCGCACACGGACCGCGGACGGCCGCTGCACACGGGCGGCGGACTGTCGCCGCGCACGGACCGCGGACGGCCGCCGCACACGGGCCGCGGACGGTCGCTGCACACAGGCCGCGGACGGCCGCCGCCTCGTGTTTTCTTTACACCAGCTTACAGCTTAACCACATACCACTGCTGCGGTGGTGGGATCCATATAGTGAATGAACAACCTGCGACCATCAACAACAACCTGCGACACATTATATTGACTACATGGACAGATGCTGCTTTGAACAAGGGGATGTTGACATGGAGGGATGAAAAAGTGTAGGAATGGTAAGGGCTCAGTTGTCTCCAGGGAGAGTCAAATCGCCTTGAACCATTTTTGAACATAACGCTTAGAAAGTTTCCACATCTCATGCTGAGCCGCATGATGTCGTTCCATTTGCCAGCTGTTCACTTCTACTCATCAATATTCCTGCAAAGATGCAACTTCATCATGGGTCCTATGGACGGTGGGCACCACGATGTGCCAGCATGGCAAAGCGAGTCATTGTTACGATACAGTGAGTTGAGCGTAGTAAGTACAGACATGAAGAGAGGTGCGCTATTTTCACTTGTTGAGATTGAAAAGCTTCTTGCCAAGGTTCGTTCTCGCCTAGATCTAGACAAAAATAAGAGTGAAAAACTTGTCGGTAGGCTTGTTCTTAGTGGTTCTTAAATGCCTCTAGTCCGTGACAGTAAAACTTCACGGCCAGTACGCCCTACCGCGTGGTGTCAGCGCTCAGCCGGGCTGCTGGCCCGGCTGGTCGCAGCGCGGTGCCTCACGTCCCGCTCCTGGCTGCTACGGGCCCGGCCGTCGGCCTGTGCCGGCCCTTCCGTGCGAAGGTGTGGCTGAGCCTCGGGCCTCCTCGGGCCTCTGGCCTCCTCGTCAGGTGGGGCGCGCCCAAGTGGAAGCCGGCCGACTCCCTCCCCCTAGCCGAAACCGCGCAAGGCCGCCATTTCCAGGCCCGCAGCTTTGATGCAACCAGCTCCACTCCACCACACGCGTTTCCACTCCAACTTCAATCCCAGCATTTCAGCAGACAGCCGTCGCACGCAGCCGTCAGCAGCGGAGCGCAGGCAGCCGCGCCGCCCAGCTCACCTTGACCAGCCGGTCCCGGATCTCCCAGCTGAAGATGCCGGGGTTCTCCTTGAAGTACTGGGCGATGGTGGTCTCGATCTCGGGCGTGGCGACGCGCGGCTTGCTGCCGCCGATGACGCCCGGCCGGATGCTGCCCGTCTCCTGGTACCGGTTCAGGATCTTGGAGACGCAGCCGTGCGAGACGCGCAGCGAGCGGGAGATGACGCACGGTCGCACCCCGGCCGCCGCCATCTGGATGATCTGCAGCCGCTTGTCGTTGGAGAGCGGCCGGCCGTTGATGAACACGCCGCCCAGCTGGTTGACCCGACCCTGACCTGGACGGAGAGACATGGGGCGTCAGTGGGAAGAGAGCGGACCTCAGCTGATCCGACCGGCCTCTCCGGTTGGAGCAGCTGCCCACGGCGTACGGCCTGACCGGCGCGCGCTGAGGAATATCTCAGCGGCCGGGCGGCGCGCCTCTCTCGCGCGCGGTGTCTCCCCATCCACCTCGTCGCCGGACCGTTGTCCGCTGCGCATCCTTCCGCCGATGGTCGGCGCGCACACCTGTGCGGCCGCGCGACCCGCCGGCCGGCCGGGTGTGAGTTTGCCCGGCGGCCTCGCATTCCCGGCTAATAAACACATTCCGCCGGCTAATAGATACATTTGGTGGCCGATGGCGCGCCATTACACGCGGCCGGCGCGCGGGCCGGCCGCTAATCGCCAGCTGATGGTCGGGTGTCGGCGCGGTCAGTGTCAATAAGCTGCGCCGAGCTCGCGCCGCGGCCGCCGGCGGTGCCGGCCCGCCGCGGCCGCCGCCCCTCGGCCGCGCCACACACGTCGATGACTGATCTGGTTTGTAGTCGGCCGCCAACAAACAAGCGCCGCAGCCGCCGCCGCCGCCGCCGCCGCCGCCGCCGCCCGACAGCTGTGGGAACGGAGGCCGGCCGGCGCGCGGGGGCGGGGGCGGGGGCGGGGGCGGGCCGGCCGCGCCGCGCCCGAGCCGGGCCTTTTAATTGGACGCCGCGCGCCGCTCCAGTTCGGGGAAGCGGGCGATGAACACGTCCGCCGCTGGACGGGCCGATTGCCTCAGAGCTGGTGGCCGCTGCTCTGACCTGCTCAGTGTCAGAGCCAGCTACGTGCTGACGGCTGATAAGCTGGCGGGCTTTGCGAATTTTCAATCTGATCACATCTACGCGTTCGTTCAAATGCTATTAGCGTCCCTCGTGCAGGGAGTGCCTCAGCTAATGCCCTTTTAGAAGGATCACCAGCACCAGCACCAGCACCACAAATCACCGCCTTCTCAGGCAGGAATAGAAAGCAGTCCGTGCATTCATTAGGGTTTCAGGACTTGTTCTTCATCCGCTCCTGTTTCCACAAGGCACAGTGAAGGTTGAGGAACATTTATTATCAATGTGTTGGTGAACTATGACTGAAGTGTTTGTCAAGTGGTAATACGCTGTGTGTTGCAAGTCACCGTGCAGTAGTTAAACTTTTAGAAATATTGTGGACATTTAGAGGTCTTGCAACGCTGTCTGCTTACCCACCACCATTTTTCTCTCAATTTACAGATGCTAGAAATGTCCACCAATTAGCGTCACGCAAGAACACTGAGCGGACGCTGGCAGAATCGATGTCTTAAATGCGGCCACTTAATTCACTTCACGCCTTGCAAAACTGATATACCCCGGAGTTCAAATCCGTAGTACAATCCAGTGAATACAATACATTGTACTTTAAGGTAAGTGGCTCACATTTGCATGAGGTCTTGAACTGAAATAACCATCTTGAAGATCATTCAGTGCAGTTTATAGTCCAGCCGTTTTTAAGACCTACAACCATCTTGTTTCTGAGCTAGACGCCGCCAATATGTGCAGATTTCTTTGGGGAGACTATTTTAAGGTCACCTAGGCATCTATGACGCCACAATAAGGTAATTAAAATCCTATCATTCCGTTAGCCATGCGGCAATCAAAGGCAAGACAAATATATAATTGTCGTGTCGTTCATACCTGGCGTTCGTGTGCACGATTTCCACATATAACGGTCGTCAATTGGCTCCCAATCAATGTTATGCAAGGTACGATGGCGTAATCAAGCAATGACGCATTGGGGAACATATTTACTAAATAAATTGTGTTGTCTAGAACAGTGTTTTAAACTTCAAGTATGCTTATGGGCGCAAGCGAGCTTAGTTCATCATATCTGATGCTTGTCTCTATAATTTTACATGGAAAACATATCCTTTAATTATTCCATGTAGTGATGTATGCAAAATCCACAAATGAACACATATGCATATGCTAGTACAGATTTTCCAAACACGATGTAGTCAGAAGGCCTGATTTTGACAACGCCCTCCTTGTTTAATTCAAGAGAGGCACAAACTTTTTGGATAATGCGTTGCACAGGAAGACTGACCAGCTATGACACTTCCTAAAAAGATCTTAGACATATGTGATATTAGTGGTTACATGCATATGTATATATACACATACTCATACACATATACACATACACATACACACATACACACATACATGTATATGTATGGGTATACACATACCCATGCATATCCACATACCCATATATATATATATATATATATATATATATATACATATATTTCGAACGCCAAGAATCGTTATCGTTAAAGCTTAACAGCACACAGTTTCATTGGCCTCTGAGATATTCGCCGCGGACGTTTTAACTCCGAAACCTGTATTTTGTTAAGAAGAGACGCCTTTTAAAAACACCACACCGTGTAGTTAAACCATTTGAAATGAGCTCGTCAGTACGCTATGACCAATACACACACACACCATATATATATATATATATATATATATATATATATATATATATATATATATACATGCATAAGAAGGCTGTAAGACGAAATTATTTGCTGACTCCTGCCGATGTTTTACGTGTAACCCAGGACGGATCGGTGCCGCAGCTGATCGGCCGTCGATAACCAACGAAGTTGTCGATAACGCGCGGGCGCGATAGCATTATTACATTCACAGAACCACCACATCATACTTGTCTTCTCAAAACACGGAAACACATATCAATACGTACGCTCAAGATTGCACAAGGAACATGCCCGCTCGTGCTCAATACTGCGGCATTGCATGGTTTTGTAATCATTGACTTGTAAAGCTGAGACTATGATTTTCGGGAACAGTGACATTTGACTTCGCATAGTGAGGTCCATTATTCTCCTAGCGGCACAAAGCTTGTTGCCTATGGTGAGATCTCGCTGGGACCGATCTGTTCAATCAAGACTCCTTCATCTAATTTGGAGATAGCAGGGGCGCATCGGCCTCCTTCCAGTTTGTGCTCTCCTTCCAGTTTGTGCTAAAAAAATCAGGAAATGCGGGCGAAGATCCATCGCAAATGCCTCAACCGGCACAAAAACTCCCTACATTTTTGATGATGGTTCTACGGGTATGAAAAGGCCCGTGATAAACGTTTATAAATGGCTGAAGATAATTTATGTGATGTCTTTGTACATACGAATAGTTGATATCAATGATAAAAGCTTCTTGCTTAGTGTATTGTGCTCAAAACCACACGCAAAGACGCATATAGAATTAAAATTATCGTGATCATTGCTGTCATTAATTCAGAGAGACAATTATTGACATTGTCGATCGTGATATGAGGCCGAAATATATTTGTGTCTTCCAAACGTCTTCCTACTGGGCTTAGCATTGTGTTCAGCTGCTGGTTTTGAAGAGAAAACGCGCATATTTCAAATACGTCTCATATTGTGCTTCATCATATCTTTCAGCTAGTGGATGGCGTTGGCTGTAAAAATGGCTCCAAGCCTGCTTGTAGCTTCCTGGAACCTCGTGTAACCTCACAGTTAGCAAAAACTGCAAACTTGTTACATATAAAAAGCCTAAAAACGTTAAACGTAGAAGAAATCCAGCACCAGAGTAACTTTTTGAAAAATATTTCCGTGACAAGCGGTTTGGGAAATACGTTTTACATCCAGTGAATAGCCCTCAATTTATGCATGAAAAGAGCCACGCAGCTATGAAAGATGGCGTGAAGAGGGGTTGCATAGTTCTACATGGGCCTTGAGTGTAATGGACCTTTTGGGTGCCTGGAGATATTCTTGCGTAGCAAAGGGCCAGTAAGCTTTAAAAAGGGCTGGCGAGTTTTTTCACCGTCCGTGATAGCTGCATATAGGGCCCCTGGTTTACAGGAAAGGCCAAAAGAAACTGAGCTGGACCTTTCTTCGATTTTCATTTCGAATTATTGAGACCTTTTCCAAACGTGGCTGCTGTGGTGCTTTCAATGCATGCAAGAAGCCACCCACGTAATAACGCATGAGACAACAAGGCACCTACTTGGTCTGAGAACATTCTGACGCACAGATATCATCCCCTGGATAACAGGAGCAGCTGAGAACAACATCGCAAATGTCATGACTTGTCGCGTCAGAGGGCAGTCTCTTACTTATGGTTGGAACTTTCCATGGCTTCAAAGGAAGTGCGCCACCCTCGTGGTCGGAGGGTGCCATCTATCAGGGGGCAGGCGCCCCTGGCTGAGACCCCCAATGCAAATGCTAGATCACCCCGAAAGTCGCTATTCAGTATTACAAGCACACAAAAGTTTGTGTGTTTCCAAAATGCGTTCTGCGATCCCCACACCGAGTTTTGTGGGGCTGCGCTTCTGTGCTGGAAAACCCGTCAAGTGGACCATAGACCCTGGCACCACTGAGACGCACAGAAAACGGTCGATACGTTACAGAAAGTACCTCTAGTCTGGAAAGGCATGCTAGGTAGAGAGGCAAGCAGACTCATGCCTCGCCCGTAGAAAAGGCGAGGTTCGGGCGTCGAGGAAGGACCTCAAACAAGAGCAATAAAAGCGATTTCATGCCGATCAATAATGTGCGAACCAAATAATCGTTGCTTAGGTTTATGGAAAACCATCACATAACATTAGTTCCTGCTCAGCCGTGCCTCCCCTCCCCAAAATAACACGAGGAGATATTTTGTGAATCAAAATTAACTAAAACTTGGTAGTGGAAGTCGCCACGTCTGAGAAAAGGATCAAGGTTTGTCCAAAAGATTAAGTATTCCTAGTGGAATGCGAATAAGTTGCAGCTTGCAAGGGGTCTGCCCAAGCGTTCCCAGTTGTCCAGGCGACCCCATTAGGCTGGCGGAAAAAAAGAAAACTGTGCAGGTGTCAAGGAAGCTCTTCTGAACAGTATTGTGTGTCTTGAACATGGCCCCTAGAGCAAAACCAGACGAATTTTGGCGGATGTTGTTGCATGACAGTTGCTTATTAGAAACGCTGCTGCACATTACTACAACATGGGCGGACAAGGAGCCAGCAATATGATGACGAAAACGCTGCGCCACAAAACACTTATTTTTGGACTGACATTTCATCACTGGCGTCTTTCATTACTCGATTCCGTCTTAGCCACTCATTCCACAAGAATGGATCTGACCCAGGTGTAACCATCGGTGATAATTGGGGGCGGGGGGAGGGGGGGTATGACAGTAGTCCGTGTGCGTTCCTGAAAGCAGAAATGCAAGGGCCTGAAACGCGGATGGTGTCACGTTGCTCGCTCCAGTGCGAGAAAGTGTAACATCAAGAGGCCCAAAATAAAACAAGAGCTCCATTATGAGGGCATATGAGAGCAAATGCCTGTTCCCTGCGGAGGCCCCGATGGGCTCCTGCCGAGGGCAGCCCAAGAGCGGGCCGTGCATTGCACGAATACCGCAGAAATGCGTGGGTAGGACACTATAAAGCATGCGCGAAGTAGGGTTTCCATCAAGGGGAGAGGGAAGGGGAGGGGGCAAGAGAGGATCACAGCCTGAGGGGATGCCATGGTTCCACTTAGGGCTCCTTACATTCGCTTTTCTTACCAGATATAGCTGGCTTTTCCACTGGGGTCTACTTCAGACCAGCAAAGACCTGTCAACCGATCCAGGGTTCTATCACGCTTCTGGAAACCTCTTGAAAAGCTCATTGATCGCTGTCGCACCCCAGCCAATCAAGAGAGATATTGATAAAATGCAAATTTGTACGCCTTTCAGACGCCTATAGGGGCATGCGGGCCGCCCTCGGACGAACCATGGGTCGAAACTAGGCGGAGGGGGGGGGGGATGGGGAAGGTCCACAACTTATCAAAAGGGGATGGACCTTTGGACCCTCGCGGCTACGTCCTTTGCCGCATTATTTTCACACTAACGTTTAAAAAGTTGCCATTTGTAAAATAAATCACGGTGGCTGAAACCAGCCGTCGTGAATATCACTATAACGTGCTTAAAATCCGGCTTCGAAACCCTGCATCGTCGACCGGAAGTCGACGCCCCAGGCAAATGCCTCCCTCAATCTGCAAGAGGCAAGGTCTTCCGGCCAAATCACAGCCGCACTCACGCGTTTCCGGGCTTTACTCAACCCCACTTGCATCCAATCACGGCGCTCGGTCGGCATTCCCGCGCGTCAGCACTGCTTGGCCAGCCGCTTGAGATCGTCGGCGGCGAGGCGGTCGGCAGCCATCGGGACCGATCTCCAACGCCGCGAGCCTCACCTTGGAACGGGTAGCCGGCGAAGAACGACGGTATACCCATGTCTGCAGCTCGGTCTGTCCTGCTGGGGATCCCGCGGGAGCGCGCTGTGGTCGGACGCGACACCGCCCGGCACCTGCACACTGCACCTGGCCGCGCCGGGCGGCGGCGGCCGGCGCACCGATGGTGGTCCGGGGGCGGGGCCGGCCGCGCGCCGCAAACGCTGATTGGTCGCCGACCGAACGCGGCCGGCCGCCGCGGCGGACGGGGGAGGGGCTTCGGCCGCAGCACCGCTGCACGGCCGGCAGCCGCAAAAACTTGTTTATTATAAATCCTTGCGGGATTACAGAGCTGCAGGGTGCAATTAAACGCTATTGTTGAGAGGAGTTTTGCAGTTTATGAGGAATTTATTGCGTGTCGGCGTCGGCAGCGTCATTCATGTGCCGAAACGGTTTCATCACGTGACAGTGCAGCCTGCTGGACCGTCCATTCCGTGGTTCTGGGAAACGACTCTCACCTGCCTCAGCACGGTGCGGATTTGGAACCCGTATGTTGGGGTGCGGTAATAGGACTGTGGGAAAGAGAGCGGATGTCGGTCTTTCCAATGGATCCACCGCCATTTTACTCATATTATGTACAGATTATTGTCATTCACTTCCTGCACTGCCGGCTTTATGATTACACGGAATATTTCACATTTAAAGATATTCAAGCAAGCATCAGATATGTTGAAATATATTTACGTATAACTTTTGGTATACTTGTTCAGTGGAAAAACACTGCCCTAGACAACACAAGTTCTTAAAATTATAAATATGCTCCTCAGTACGCCATTGCTTGATAGCGTCATGGAGCGTTTGTACGACGTTGGGGTACTGCCAAACTAGCCGTACGGAATTGCCACTAACTTGTAGCACTTCAAATTCGTCGAGAGGTGGCAGTACTGGCTGGACGTGTTCGCTGAGCCAAATACCCGTGATTGAAGCCTGCACAGCTCGCTCAACATCGTTTGAGGGCTAGTTGATCTCCACTTTATTTGGAAATCGGAATATGGTCACGGAAACCAGATCTGAACCACTAGACGATGACATTGTTCTTTGCCGCGAACGACGCCCGGCCTTGCGCGATGGGAAGATTTTAATGACGTCGCTATGACGTCATGCATACCTGAATGGTCCTGAAATAATTTGCACTAAATAGTCTGAAAATTTTTGCGGGCGTGTAGCTCAGAAACAACGGGGTTTTAAGTCTCAGGAAGGGAAGAGCTGTGAACCTCACCAAATGGTTTTCAAAATGGCAATTTGAACAAAAAATTCGATACAAAAGTGGAACACTACCTTGAATACTTTAACTTTCATGATATTTCAACTTCTTGAGGGGTACTTTCGTGCATCGAAGTTACGATCTATAGACACATGGCCTGACTAATTGATCCCGAAAAAAAATAATGACAGTTCTTCCGCAGTGGACGAATAGGTCAGTTACAGAATCACTCAGTAACTGCTTTCAAATGGAAAACTTATTCCATGGTATTAAGCTTACAATTCAAGGTATTTTGGGGTTGACGCTTGCGTTTGTCCTAGAGTCAATAGTCTATTTTCTCGTCTTGAAGTAAGGTTTCATGGTAATAAGTCCAACGGCGAAAAGTTTTCTACATACGGCCCCTTGGACCCTTGAACATCATGGCCATAATAACACTCTGTTTACGGGCATCGTTCTGACTTTGAGTTCATGAATAATTTGCAAGAGGTCTCCAAGACAGTAAAGAGGCCCCTCATAGATTGAGGGGATGCTCCTGGGAGTGGTTTTCCAAAAGGCTTCCTGAGCTTGGCCGAGAAAAGGACGAATGGATTCCCACAGCAACCTCTTGGTGCTCCCCAACGCTGCGTAAGCTGTATGCAATGCAGTTACATGGCTTAGTCCTTTCCCGTCCCTAGCTCGCCTTTCGGATAGTACTTTGGGGTCTAGGAAGGCAAAGAAAACCTTTTTAAGGATCACGGAGGGCAATACAAGCACAGGAGTTTTCGGTTCTTCAAAAACAAGTTCTTGTCCGATATGGTTATTTTCATTGATTACATACAGCACAGACATATATGTACCTGTGAACTATATACATTAAATGGATTGATCCGTGCTTTGATGTGTTTTTAGTAAATGTGAATGATGTTGAGTTTCGTAAATGAACCAGTGTCGCCACTGTCGCACGTGATTGGTAGATGTGTCGGCTGCCAACCGCAGCCCGCGTGGAAGGTGATTGCTGAGCAGTATTACTGAAAACGTCTCTTCTTCTAAGCCTGGATGCTAGAGGCACTTTTTATTTCGAAACACACGCAACCAGTGCCCGGGCATATAAATTTGGTGAGGTTACAAAATACCAAGGAGGCGCTCGCAAAAACTGTCGTAAGGGGTTGGGGCGGGGGGACATAACCTCTATCCTCATCCGGTTGAGGACTCAGATATGATAAAAATACGCTCAATTTTATCTGCTGCGTACCTTCGAGTGCAAACTACTGCTCTAGACAATGCAGAGTTACTATTTAGCAAATAATCTCCTCAATACGTCAACGTTAGTGCATTCCATAGAAACTTTACATGACGTAGGAGTCACTGTCAGATGTCAGATGGCCGTGTCAGAATTGCCACGGTAGGGGACGGGCTGACTCACTTGTAGTACTTCAACCTGCCGATAGGTGACGCGCGTGATGGCGCAAGTTTACGAAACCTTAATATTGATTTCTAATATTTAATCAGAACACTTGAATGGATGGATTTCTAGGAGTAGGATCTCACGCTAAGCAGTGCTTGTTGCGTGAGTCCTGATCCCTACTATCCGATCGCGCAATGCCAGGCAACGGCAGACCTTGTTGGCAAAAGTTAAACGTGCCGCAATGCTCGGCACGGCCCGTCCTGCCCTCTGAGGTCAGCTGACCCTTGGCGCAACCACTGCCACCATCCACAGCCCATAGCTGTCAATGACATTAGTGGGTGCCTAAAACGACTTGAACCCCAATAACAGCCCCCTTCCCCCCAATATCGTTATGTGCACGTCTTTTTACCCTTCTCGTGGTGTTCTTGTATACCGGTCCGTGATTTTATACTATTTACTCGCATTCACTCACTCGGCTATGGTGCTATTCTTAAGCTAATCGATTTCCAGTCTTGCTTCCATCATAACTCGTACCACTGCTAACATAACGATATCATTTGGCACAAAATGTAACTTTTGTTCAAAACTTGCACTCAATGCACCAAATTGGTCGAAGGCAAACTGATGATCGCAGACACCACAAATCCTTCTAACCCACGCCATACACGAATAATTCCTTGATCATAGTCGTTCTTGCCATTAAACACCACATTGCCAATGAGGTGGCAGTATTTACGTAGCGTGTGTATGGCACCATGAAGGCCTTGATGGCTTGAAATAGTCTGCACAAGTTCGCGCGTGTCAAGCTCCGAGACAACAGTGCCATGCCTTAAATGCCTTAAATCGGGCATGACCGTGAACTGCACTGAATGAACTTTAAAATAGCTTTCTCAGTTCAAAACCCGATACAAATGTGGAATACTACCTTTCAGACAGTCAAAGATCGCTCTGCACAACGGGTAGTTTCCCAATAAGTTGAGGAGCTCCAACCCCCTCCCACTCCACACGCACACCGCTTGGGCTCAAGTCTCACCAACTTTGAGATGAAATCGGCCCGAAGCGGCAGTGAATATCACTCTTGTTGGCGCATTTTGGGAGTAGGCGTCGTCACTTCGCACCGCTCAGGACCACTCATTTATGTTGCAAAATCATACCCGGCCTCCGCATGATAATTTTTTTCTCTGTGCTTGACCTACCTGTTTCGTTCGGTCCAGTGTCGGCGCCCTCAACGCTTTGGCACCAGCAATGATCGCATTTAAGGACAAATGATAGGGGCCATCTTAACACCAAAAACACGCTTAACGTGAAATAGTACCGGCATGCTCTCCTCCCACTGTTCCCTGCCATAGCGTCGTCCTTACATAGCCCTAAGTACGCCGCCAATGCCACATGGGGTCTATACAAAATTACTCTTTTAAGTTACCATTAGTTGTCGCTAATCGGTGCGCGTGCTTCATAGTTTTCAAGACGGGAGCGGTCGTTGATCTTAGATTCCCCCAAAATAGCTGTAAGACATCTTGATAAGGCGTTGAAGTCAGGATACACAAAACACTGCAGCATCACAACAGTCGACCGGGCGCTTCGGCACACGGAGCGCCGAGCGCGAGCGCTCAGGTGCTTAGGTGCCCAGTGTGTGGCACACGAACCGAAGACGCCGTCTGGTTCGCGCGCGCCCGACACGGCGCTAACCCTGGCATCCATCTCGTCAGGGCGTGTACCAAGATTGTTGTGACAGCGAAATGAGCTCGGGTGGAAGCTGGCCGTACAGAGCGCCCGGGTCCCGAACAGCACCGCAAGGCTCGGTTGCACGCTGGTGGTGGACCGGTTTGGTTCTGTTGTCAGCCTCGGTTATGGATCGCGGCAGGTGCAGCAACCGGTCCCGTCTCGTGCACAGTTTGTTTGGAGGCGGGCTCATCTCCCACGAGAATGGCGTGGGTCTGTTGTTCTATCGCTATCGTGCTATCTGGGAATCGAGGAATCTATCCAGCTATCCAGAACGCTCATAAAAATCCGTACGGGATTACACCAAAGCGCAATAATCTAACTCTTGGATGTTCCTTGGAGCCCCTAGATACGTCCCGTCAAGGATACCCCTGAATTGAACCCAGCAAAAAAAAAACAAACATGTTTTCGTGTATCTACGTAACCAACTGCAACTGCCCTCTGTTCGGCCGACGCTGGTAGCAAACTTTGTAGACAAATCATAAAGAATAGAGCGAATGGGTAGCAAAAAGGTACTAGAATGGAGAGGAGAAGCCACAATTTTCAACGCAACATGCAAGAACACATATTTTCATTGGCCATCCCATTATAAAGACACCTATATCTGTAAGACCGAATGGCATCGATGCATACACATATGCATCGATATATGGACAGTTTCGATATGTGTTCAGTTCGTGTTCCGGAGTTGGATACCTAAGGGTCAACAATTATATCTGAAAGGGGTGGTTCTCCTGTCGTGTTCTGACAATGCTTAA